GGAGAGATTAATATATTCAATCGCTAAGGGTAATTGAGGGAACAATTGGAGTGTTTTTTTAAAGCCCATAAAACTGCCTCATTGGAGAAGAGGAGCTGACCTGTTTTTATCCTCTGTATCTGATGCAGCATAGGAAGGGAAGAGGAGGGGTGACACTGGGGTCCCAAAGCAGAGGGACTGGAGCATCAGCCTGGGAGAGGGCTAGCAGTCCCGGTCTAATCTGTTCTCACCATTCCCACCTCTCACCACTTTGTTAGTAGCAGTCCAAGCACAGCCTTCTGGAGCCTCTGTTTCCATACCTGTGAAATGGGCCAGGGAGAAGAGAGGAAGCTGCAGAAGGGGCGGCAACACAAGATGGGAAGCGGACACCCACAGGGAAGGTCAGGCACTGAGGCGAAGGGCCCTGAGCAAAGAAGTGCCCAGTTCCCCAGCCAAGCCAGCACCCCACCCCCACTGGGAGGTGAACCGGGCAGTAAAGTTAATGAAATCCACATCGTGTGCCTTTCCCCTGCCTGCACTAATCCAGTCTCCAGGGCAATAGAAATTGTGTATGCAATAGGAAGCAATAAAAGGCATAATGAATTTAAAAGCAGAGCAAAGAGAGGAGGAGGGAAAAGATCTGCTGTTGGCCCCAAGGCAGAAGGATGCCTGGGGCTGGGAAAGTGCAGACTTGGAGCTCCAGACGGAATTGGGACCAGAAAGAGTCAGAGAGGAGGGTGGGAGACGGGGAGAGGGAGGTAGGAAGGGAGGGAACAAAAGAAGAGAGACTCAGAGACAGAGGTTTAGGGACAGAGGGCAGAGGGCGCTAGGCAAGCCGCTGACTGCTCTGTTTCCTTCTACTTCTCCTTAATGAAAGCCCCCAGCCTGTTGGTGCCAAAGCCACAATCGGAATCCACAGGCGTGGAGGCTGGTGCTCGGCATTGGGTGATTGCTTTATTAGCTTTTTCTTCTCTTATTTTCCCCTCCAGGGTGAAAAAAAAAAAAAGGTGTTTTAAATGGGAAAAAAAAAAAAACAAAAACCATCCTTGAAAGCGTCATTTAAAAGGTTCCTGGGGAATGGAATCATTTCCATGAAACAAAAGTGTGATTGTTTGGAAGAGGTAAATGCCAGGATGGAATGGGGGAGGGCCGCACCGCAAACTCCCTCCTCTTTCTCCCTCTCTCGCTCCTCTCTGTATGGGAGGAAGCTCCAGGGCCTAGGGTGAAGGAACCCCCAGGATGGCTCCCAGAGCTACAAGCGAGGAATTTTTAAGTTCGTGTTTTCAGAAATTTCATCACTGGGAATTTCCAGCCCAAAGTTTCCCTCTGAAACAGCTCTGCCTGTGGGAGGTTGTCCTTAAACCTTCAAGATCTCTTAGAGAGGTGAGTTAGGTGCTGGGAGGCATGTGGCCGCTGAGGCCTTACAGCTCCAGGCCCAAGGCTGTTCTGGCCTACCCCTGCCCCCCAATTCCCCAGGAGGCCTCATTTGCTCTTCAAAGAGTTGAGTGGGAGTCACCCAGCTGGCCAAGCTGCCAGACTTTGACCAGCACCTTGCTGCTTCCCTTACCCTCAGGGACCTACTCTGCCTAGCTCTGGACAGATGACCCTCATTCTGGTCAGATAAACTCCCTCCTACCCAGGGAAGGAGGGCCTCAGGTGTGCTGGGGTGGGGCAGCCATGTGGTCTCAAACCTGCCAAGAGGTGAATGAGGCAGCGCCAGGGACAAGATGAGTCCCCATGGAGCTCTGCTGGGAAAGGAAGCCCCTGAGCACCCTGTGCAGCCGGCAGGAAACCTGGAGCTGGTTCCCTCCTGTCGGGTAAGCTTCTCTCTGCAGACCTGTCTGCATGCCCCAGTCCCCGTTCGTGGGTCTGGGGATGAGGGAGTGATTTTATCCTGGAGTCCATGAGTGTACATGCTAGAAATATTCACGAGGGATATGACTTTCACCACCCTCTCCACCCTCCAACACACACACACATACAGGGGAAGAAACTTGGGGACTGGAGAAGGGAAGGTATTCACTGCCTATATAATGTTAGCTCAGGGGAATCGCTTGTCTAGTGCAGTCTCCAGAATTCGGCGAAAGCTGTGACCAGCACTGGTGTGGCCATTTAGGGCTAAGTGACCTGTGGGCCATGGCTAAGGAGTGAAGTGATTCAAATTCAAAGCCAGTCACTGAAGCTCACACTGAGCCCTGCCTCCTGCTCCCTACTTATTCTGGATCATTGCATTCCTGATCCCCCTGCCCTCTGCCCCCCTGCTCCACCCTTAACCCCATCCCTCATCCCATGACCATCAGCAGTTCTGGTTTAAAAAAATGACACACAAGTTGAAGAACAACTTGTAAGCTTACCATAATGTTCTAAACTGAATAGATTCAATGGTTGAAATGCCTAATATAGACAAGACAGGATAGTTTGGAAGAGACAAAAATCAGTACAGGGAAGGCTTCCTGGAGGAGGTGATCTTGAGCCTATCCATTTGCACCTGGAACTCCAAAATCCATTCTTGGCTTTGAACTGAATATGGCTGAAGTCGGGCTCTGCTCAAGAATGCAATTCCCTCCTCTTCTCTCCATCCTTTCTGCTTACTACATTTTCTTCTCACACCCCCAACCCCACCCCTTTTCAGCTCCCTTTCTCCTCTTCAATTGAGAACTAAAAAGGTCTGGGTTAAGTCCTTTCCTCCTGGGCTTCATTGTCCCATCTACAAAGAAGGGAGGAGGGAGGATAGTTTCAAGGCTCTCTGTGGTTCTAGGCCACATCCACTTTCCCAGGGAGCTGGCCACAGGCCTGAAGGACAGCCTGCAGCCCTACCTCTCACTGAAAAGCCAGGTTCTTGGTCTCGCTGCTGTCCTTCCAGCTGTGTCTTTGAGTCTCCAAGTCGCAGTCCCAGAAAGGTGCCTGCCTTCCTCAGGCAGAACAGTTGGATGAGTCTGCCTGAGCTGAAAGAAGCAGCTCTTCTCTTCTCTGAAGGACCCCTTTCCATTGTCTGTCCCCCACCAGCTGCCTGGCCCTGTTGTCAGGGTTGTGATTGCTGACTGCCCCCCGCCCCCCGGAGGGAAGTGATTTTCCTTTTCCTTAAAGCCATTTTCTTGTCTTGCTAGAAGCAGACATCTGACACTTTAAAAGGGAGAATGGCAGGGAGCTGATGGCATTAAATAACAGAAATTAGAGCTGCCTAAGATGGCTCAGCCATCTCACAGTCCCCTTCCCCACAGCAGTCCCACCCTTCCCTCACATGTGTTACATGTATTCAGAGCTGCAGCTTGCAATGCACTGTCTACGTGGTCCCTGGCTCAGGGTAGCCAGGCCATGCTGGGACCTGGAGAGCAGGGGACTGCTTCTCCCTGAGCTCTGAACCTTTTGTGTACCTAGTCCTGTTACAAATTCTAGGACCGAAGGCCAAGGCCCAGGCCCTGAAGTCAGGGAGCTTGCAGCCTGAAGGAAAAGAAGGCAGGTAGGAACCCAGGTATCATCCAGCTCAGTCACCAGCTCACCACTGTATCCTCAGCACCCAGCAGAGAGCAGAACATATAGTAGGTTGTCAAAACTATTTGTTGATATAAGAATGAACGAATGAACAGAGGCCAAAGTGGTCCACGTAGCAGGCTGAGACCTGGACAAGAGAAGCCGGTACCTGCATCTCTGGTCTGTCCTTCCAGTTCTTCTGGCACATGCTTCCAAATCACTCTGTCTAAACTACAGCTCAGATCTTGTCTTTCTCCTGTATAGACCCTTCTGGTGGCCCCTCATTGCCTCCTCAAGTGAATATCCACCTCACTCTTTTGCCGCTGTACCCCAATTCTCTCCACTTTCTCCCACCTATCCTCCCCCTCCCAGCCTGACTCAGCTCACCACTCTGGGCTCCACTTCAGCCCAGACCAATGCACTGCTGGGAGACTGGCACAGCAGGAGAGCCACCCATCTTTGGCTGTAAACTTTTGTCAAACTCAGCTCTTTTTCCTGCTGCCAGCGAAGCCCTTTTCTTCTTCTCAATCAGCTTATTCTGGTCCCTTCTCCTAGAATAACCTCCCCAAAGCCATCCCTAAATGGGGTCTGACAGAGTTGGCACTTAACAAAAATTTGATGGGTGAATGAATGGATAAATGAATGAATGAACAAATGAATGGAAGATTCATCTCAAATGACATCTCTTCTGAGAAGCCTTTCTTAGGCTCCAAAATCAGACATGCACATTCCTCACAAGAGCTCTCCTAGCACATTCTTTGGAGGACCATCCAATGCCCACCTTGTGTCTGACTGTCTTCAAGCCAGGTGGCACCTGAGCCCAGAGACTGAACTAGCTTTGGATTCCATGCACTCTGATGCACTAAGCTCCCGAGGAAATGTCGGCATTAAATGGAATCAAGCATCCTTGGGGATGATTCTCAGTTTCTCCACCTCTAAAATGGGCTGCTACTAGCTCCCTACTAGCTCCCACTTGTACTGGCTGTGAGGACTACCAGACACATGCCTGGTTGCAGAACTAGCTACAGTGGAGAACCCTTCTATAGCTTGGACAAAAACTAGACTCCCTCACCTGGGCCTGAGGCCGTGAGGGTTTTGGTTCAGGGCCCAGTCTCTCATGGTTGTGGTGGGAGCTGGATGGACTTGAGGGCAGATGCACGAAGACTTCTGTCTTGGGGTCACTCGGAGCCTCCCTCAAAACCTAGTAGGAATGTATGAGATTGAGTTGGGGACTGAATGGTTTTGGAGGTTACTCACTTACTGGGCAAAAGAAACAACAGCCAGCAGTGTCCCTGCTCTATGTAGCCTTCGCTCCATTTTCTGTCTCCCCTGTCCAGCTGGGACTCCCTGTCTCCATCCTCAGACAGCAGGTTCTCCAGAACCGAATAAGGCAACCTGAGAAAGTTCTGCTGCTCTGCTCAGCAAGGGATTCGGGACAGTCAGGCTTATCAGAGATGCTGGGTCTCCTAAATGGGGAGTCAGTAATGCCGGAACCTGAGCTGGGACCCAGGGGATACCCACAAGCAGCCTGGGCAGCTGGGGCTCTGGACTTGGTGACATAGGTTCTGGCTGGCTGGCCCCTAGAGGGCAGTTTGACTACGGAGGCTGATAGGCCCAGTATACATGGAAAGCCACACTATAAGCCAAGCCCCCACAGTGGTGGCCGTGGGGTTCACTCTGGCCTGGAGCAGAGCCAGGCTGCACAGTAGCAGTACAGGTCCTCATGCTCCCGCACTGAGAGGTTCACGAGGGGCTGGTCTGGGTGCGGGCAGCTGGAAAAGATGGCCTTGCCCACCTACAGGGCCTCCTGGCCTAAGGCCCCTCCAACCTCAGTGCCTCCACCTGCAGTTGTGTGTTGTGTTGCCCATCGTTCTTGCAGAAACCTGGGTGGGGAATATGGGACTCAGAGATACCTCTGGGGTCTCCCTGCCTCCCCCAAGGGATGAGGAGGACAAGCAGGGGTGTCAGGAAACTTGAGTTCCCAGCCTTTGAATTGAAGCCAGGCTTAGCTAAGATTTCCGCTGGGTGGCCCCTTCTTAGGACCTGCCCATGGCCCATCCTTTTAATGATGGCCCACAGGGTGGGGTGGCAAGGAGAGGGCTCCTAGCCTATGAGATAGTTCTGGGTCCTACAACCACCCTGAGGGAAGAATTCAACTTGCCTCTGATTTCTGGCCACTTAAAGGCCTGGAACCTGGTTTTCTCATTCCTTCACATCCCTTCTACTCCAGGAAACCTGTCTGGATGGACTCACAATCTAGGCATGGATCTTCTGCTCCCTCCAGATTACTTAACTATTTTCTTTGGGATTCCTGCCTTTCCACCTGATCTGGAAACTTCCTGAAAGCAATGCCCTGGTCTCTACCTCTCTGTCCACCCCCCATACCCACAGTCCAGTGGTGTTCATGGTGGGGCATTCAGGGTGCTGGCTCTAATGTTACTCAGTGAGCCGTCCACTGCCAGTACTGGCCACAAACCTGCTGTGTGCTCAGCCCTTGTAAATTCACAAAGCCTTTTTTCACCAGTCCTTTCAATTCCTCCTCACCTGACGCTGTGCGACCAGCATTAGGGTCCCCACGTCACACTGAAGGAGGCAGGAGTTTACAGAGGGCTAGCATTTGCCTCAGATCACACAGGCAGAGCTTCCGGATTGACCCTGTCCCTCCTAGTTCCCCTGAGGCTATCCGGGGTCCCTGACAGGGCCTGGGGCAGGAGTTGAAGGGTCTTTCTTTCTCCCAACCCCCACCCTTACTTTGTACCTTTGGGCAAAGTAAAGACAAACTTGTTCCTCGTGTGGGTGAGGCTCTAGCCAGGATGCTGCTGCTCAATGACTTCAGAGACAGCAGAGCAGCAGCGGGGGCTCTCTGCAATTGCACCCCAGCCCTAGAGCTGGCCTGCTGAGGGTTACGAGCTGACAGCTACAGGGCATATCTATCCTCATTGTTAAACCCAACACTCAAGACCTCAAATGCCAGGTCCAGCGTCTTATCCTCGGCCTTTGGCCCCAGGCTGGGCATGGATGCAGGGACCCAGGGTTTGGACCCCCTGAAAGCCATGGCCATGTCAGGGACTGGCCCTTGAACTGAGCGCTGCCTCCTCCCACCCCACAGCCTTAGCCTGGGCCCCATTCGAAAGCCTCCATGCTGGGCACTCAGGGCCACACCCCAACCCTCTCTGTTTGTTTGAGGAGAAACCAGGTAACAAGCCAGGAAGTTAGGCCTGTCCCAGGGAATAAAGACTGCCACTAACCCCTGCCTTTTAGCATTTGTTAATTCAGTAAACATTTATTGAGCATCTACTGTTGCCAGGCACTATTTTAGGCATTTGGAATACAGCAGTGAACCAAACAAAGATTCCTGCCCTCCCGAAGCTTATTTTCTAGTTGGGGAGGGGCATGGAGACAAACAGGCCCTGTACACGCACCCATTCTTCCCTCAACACTTCCCTCTTTCTCCCTTACTTTCTTCTTTCCCTCTTTCCGACTGTGTTGGTCTTAGCATGGTTTGAGGGCCCTCCACATCTAACACCCCATCCTTCCCACTCCTGGCCTGCCCTCTCCCACTCAATCCCTGCGGCAAGCTCATTTTTTCTGGTGTGTGTATATGGGTACTTTTAAAAAAAAGACTGGGAAAATGCACAACATAAAATTTAACATTTAACCATTTTCGAGTGTGCAGTTCAGTAATGTTCAGTATATTTACATTGCTGTACAACCAAGCTCCAGAACACTTTTGATTTTGTAAAACTGAAACTCTACACCCATTAAACAACACCTCCCCACTTTCCTTCCCCCCAGCTACTGGCAACCAATATTCTATTTTCTGAGTCTATGACTGTGACTACTTTAGACATCATGTAAGTGGAATCACATAGTATTTGTCCCTTTGTGATTGGCTGAGATCAGTCAGCATAATGTCCTGGGGAAGGCTCACTTTTGCCACACACCAGACTTGCCCTGTCTCCCCTCCCTGCCTTTGCTTGTCCTGATTCCTCTGCTCAAACTGCAGTACTACTTGTCACCCTATTCATTCTTCAGACTGGTTAAAAACCTCCTTCTCTGGAACTGGGTTAGTGACTTTCTCCTCTGCAACACTCTGCACCATCCTCTCCTGTCTCAAATGATAACTTTCCTACACTCAACTGAACATCCTTCAGGGATCATGTTGTTTGCCCAGGACAGGACTGGGCAAGGGGTAGGTGCCTAAGGGAACATTAAAGCATTACAGAATAAATGAATAAATGAACAAATGAATGAATGAATGAATGAATGAATGGAAGGATAAATGAATTAATGGACAAAACCGACCCTACTTCTGCTTGTGCAGAAAAGAGTAAGAAATGGTTCTTTTGGCTGTTTCATTTGGATTTCATCTGTGAGAAGTAAAGACCATTTTGGGTTTTGACCCACACTTGGATTCAGAGATGCATCCTGGTGCCCAGGAGTGTGGGCGGCAGTGTTGGGGGTAAGTGTCAGGAAAGAGACAGTGGTTCATAAAGCTCAAGCTTCTCCTCGCCTGGCCTCAGTTCCATGGGGCATGTCTGTAAACCTCAGTGAATTTTAGCAGGTCAGGGCTGGATAGCACTCCCATTTTACAGATGGAGAAACTGAGCCCAGGATAGCAGAGTAAGACCAGATCCCTACTCCCTTCCCAGGATTCACTTCACTCCCAGCTGCTTCCCTGATTCAGCTTCCTGTGGTTTTCAAAAGGTTTAAACTCCAGGCAGAGGCCTGACTTCCACAGAAGTCAAGAGGGGGTGGGGCAGGGAGTGAGGTGAGCAGAAGAGGCAACAGCGCTGACTTCCAAGCCTCCTTCCTTCCGCAGCCCCAGCATGAAAGGCCTTAATGGGGCCCTCCAGTCTTCTTTCTTCCTGGAAGAATGGCTTACTCAGAGGCTGCTGGCTTTGTCTGGAAGAGCCTGGGCCTGCAATTAGCCCACCCCAGAGGGTTCTCTTCCTGCTTCCCACAATAGCTCCTTTCAGCCTCCCCCACGACACCTCCTCCCATGGCTCTTATGTGCCTTCAGACCCTTGTTTGAAGGACCCACCTCCAACTGCTCCCACTCCTGGCCTCTGCTCAGAGCTGAATCCTCCCTGAAAGAACATGTGTGAGTTCACTGGACCCTTCAAGGGTCTGGAGGCTGGGGCTATTACTTGCTTCTACAGATGGTAAAAGAGAGGCACAGAGAAACCAGGTAGATGAGTGAAAGTCTGGACCTGCACTTCAGGCCTCCTAATCCCAGGCTAGTATATCATATGATCACTGCTGCTCCACAGTGGGACTTCAGTAACCAGTGCCCTCCAGCAGCCTTCCCTCCCACACAGTGGGACTGTCCCAGGCCCACATCCCATGCCCTCCAAGTCCACAGGGCCAGAGGCTCAAGGGGTGATAGAATCACAGACCTGACTGGCAAAGTGGAGCAAGGTGGCCAGCTTCTCCCCATTGTACAGATGGGAAAACTGAGGCCC